AACACATGTACAGTATATGCTTCTTTTTTTTTTAATGTACATGAGAAAAACTGATTGTATGGTCACTAAAACATATTTAATATAATGGCTGTGTCTCCAGGGGCAAGGGAATTATAAGTGATGATTCTGTTGTGTTGGGAAAGTGTTCTCAAAACAGCTAAATTAAGAGCCAAAGTGCTGTCATTAATGACACTATTCTGTCCTGTCTTCACATTACAAATATCTAAAGCTACCCACATTCTGATGTGGATATCTGTTGAAAGATGAAAAAGAAACAGCAAGAGTATAGTCATAAAAAATGTTCTAACACTAAAAGGAACTTCATCAGTAGGCTTCCTATAGCTATAGAATTCCATCGGAAAATCAGTTTCTTAACATTCCATCTTTAAAAGTGTTCCACTGCCCTGTTTGTAGTTTTTTAGGTACTGCCCCTACACCACATTGGACCGGGTATTATTGTTTCCATTCAGAAACATTTCTCTCTGCTCTAGAACAACACTGTTAATTAAATGCTACACGTAAGCCATTTAAGACTATGCTTTAGATGTATTTTTAATTATCTAGCAAAAAATAAGAAGAACCAAGAGCTTCATGTTAGTAGCAAATTAACTGGACTAAGGGTCTTGATTTTTCTGGAAGCCTTTTGGAAGCCTGCATGTTAAACACTGGTGATTTTTTAAATTCTCAATGGAAATGGTGATGGCATTCACTGAACCAAGTCAGCTCAAATTACAATGCAATGGGAACATAATCTAAAAACAAAATGCCAAGGAATTCCTACTTTCAAACATCACTGAAGCATCTTATAATTCAAAATACCTTTATACTCTAACTTTTCACCCATACATACTACTCATGAACCCTATAAAGAAAATGTGTGTATACAATCTTCATATTCCTTTACATTTTATACACTATTTACATTTACTTAAGTCACATAGAGAAGCTACAAACTTTATATAGTATTAAAATTCCACAGTAACATTAATGGTGTGCTTACTTTCAAAACATTTCTTTAAACTACATTGTCACAAATTATCTTACTGTTTTGTTGAAAGGATATGCCTTAGTCTTTAGGATCTTAAGAGTATTAGAAATGATTAAATTCCACTATTCTGGACCATCAGTCTTGATATGGGACAGATCCAGATGAAGCCTCCTATGTCATGTGCTGATGGCAAACTGTAGAGTTATAAAACAGAAAGCCACAGAACAGACCTGATGGGTCAAGCTCATTTTGGGGAGCACTCTTCAGATATTTGGCTTCATTAAAAAAGAAAAAGAGATGCGCACCATTTTCCAAGAACCTTGAACTTTTCAAGATTAAAATACTATTTACTGCGCCTGGAACAATTTACTGGGTGCTGACTAAGACTCAAAGTGCTTCTCTCAACCGTGAGTAGGCAGGCAGATACTAGTCTACTCCCAAGCTGACAAGGGCATGCTTTGTTAATAGTAGGTTTTGAAGGACAGCAGGAAAAGGAACTCAAAGAAAAACCTGTAGGAACTTAGTAACCATATTTGGCTGCCCATTTTTGAAAATTTTGATGGATTTAAGCAATTTGAATTATAAATACTGTCATTTAATAAAACACCCACACAATGACAAGAATGAGACTTTAATCAGTTTTAAGTGGAGTTTATAACACTAAGAGATAAAGGGTTGTTAACAAACACAATAACAAATGGACATCTGATTGGTATGAGGCATTATCCTGTACACGTCATATTTTTGTGTATCCTCAGTGCATAGCATTTACACACAGAGCCACTGCTGCACAGCACAAGAGTATCTGAAGAGGCTGAATCAGAGTAAGGCTGTTTTACAGACTGAAATTTTTTAGTATATATATTCTATATGAAAACAGATTGAACTTTTGAACTGGCAGGTAGAAGGCAACTCTGCCAAGTACTACAGTTAAAGCCCCCAGTTTAGTGCACAGTTCCACCCCTTCCATCTGCATGCATGACACATTAACAGTATTCAAAGGTGAACGAGGCACTTTGTGGCAACCACAGCCATCGTTATGAACATATTGCACACATTTTCTAGAACTAAACATGTAACTTGTAACCTACTTTTATTTTTAAAGCTGAAACATTTGATGCTGCCGGTAAACTCCACTTAAGTTTATAACCTGTGCCACAGCAAAGAATGGTGATGCTATTTATTCAACTACCCTTTTATAATCATGGCAAAAATGTCCAAGAGAAATTACAGAGGACTTGGGATGGTACAGGGCCCAACTGTAAGCCTTCTTAAAGGTGATGCCTTCAAGTGATTTCAGACATGTAAGCTGCTGCACATCCAAAAAGTCTAAGAAAACATTCCAGAAACTTGGGAGAGATTACCTACAGAATGCATTTCAGGCTAATTATGAATACTGTCATAAATAAAGTTTTAATTAGGACTCAAAAACCTTTCAGTCATAGCAATTCTTGTCAAATTCTATGGGGATGGTAACTGAAATAAAGGAGAGTATGTATAATATATATTTATATATATATATAATATATATATAATGCCATTTTTTCCATTTCCAATGACTACACCATAAAATGTAAGCAAGGCTTCTCAAAAACACTGAAACATTCAAAATCAAAACCCTCATTCAGACCTTCACATTCCAAAGGAAAAATATTAACAGTGCAAAAGCCCATTGTAATGTCATTATTTATGACCTGGCCCTCTATGTTACATATTGGAACAATACAAGTTATATTTTAACATGCTGTGCCCAAAACTGTAACAAAGAACAGTATTCATAACTATTTTCAAAACACAAATAGTTGAGTTTCATTTTAGTGAACAATTTTCAGCTTTTAGGAAAGACAAGGTGGTGTACAAATTTCAATGGTGAGATCTTAGGAATAGTTGTCTCTAACTTTGCCAATTTGATTTATGAACGCTCAATCAAAACACTATGCATCAATGTTTAAATATAAATGTGTAAACCCTAAGACCCTTGCTAAAATTTTAAAACTTTATGGGTTGAGTGAAACTGATGAGGTATGGGAAACATATCAACATTATTTTCTAAAAATATTTTAGATGAAGTTCTGCCTAACCTACTCACCATTAAACTCTACAAATGCTGCTCTAGTGGGTCCTATGCAATCTGTAAATTAACTAGGTCAGACCACAGCTAGTGAACAATTTCAGCACCAGTAAGTTATTGAAAATGGGACTTTACACCATTAAGAAATATAATGGCTGGATATTCAAATGTCAAGGTTAATAATTTGAAAGATACCAAAATTTAAGAGTATCCTCACATTACCATTACAATAGCAGTTTACTCTGCTTTAAATTGTATGCAGTCTGGGCATATCAAACATATGATATTTAAGAAGTGAAACTGAAGCCCTAATCCCAACTCTACCACTATAAAGAAACAACTCAACACTGCACATTTAAAAAGATCTATTCTTTCAACAGCAAGTGGACAGAGCTTATGTAGGACAATTTCAACTAAAAAAATTAAATGCCTTATTATTTGTGCAGTGCTGAAAATTTACTGCAACTCTAATTTCCTTTTTAACACAAACAATGACTTTTTAATATACACATTATATGTATTCAGTATTCAAGTAAAATTCCCTAACAGTTAATGACATTTAAAAAATGTGCAAAACTGCAAAACTCATTGTGATAGAATGTGTAAGGTCAAAAGGGTGGAACACCTGACAGCTACTGGATTGAGTAAGTGCATCATAAATCTTTAAAGAAAAAAACTGCTTACTGTAGAATCTCAAATTGAAATTTCCTGTGAAGTATTACAAAATATATTTAATGAGAAAAAAGCTGGCAGCCAGCACATGAAGCATCCACAGCAGGTATATGATTGAAAGTTAATAAAAATAAATGTAAGTTGTTGACTGATGTAGGTACGAATAGCATCTGACTTTTAGCACTGGTCTTGATTACACAGGAGATGGAGCAGACATTAAAATTGAGAGAACAGATTTAATAAACCATTGTCGAGTTCTATGTTTCAAGCCCATTCTTTGTCGATAGCCTCCACATTTGTATGGTTAAGTCATTGTTGCTGTGTCTCTTAACTATGACCACATTATTTTTATATCCCTTCATTTGTGGATTCTTAAGATGTTGTAAAAGGTTCATTCCTATACCCCAATACAAATTCACTCTCTCTAGCTGCCTTTTCTAGCACCAATATGCTTTTTAAAAATGCACAAACAACAAGCAGTGACAGCGGCCGATTCCTCGATGTCCAGATTAGTTAACTATAGCATGCTAAAGAAAGGTGTTAAGTAGCTGGAGATGGTATATGGTCCAGAGTCCAGCTAAAGAATATTCCTTTCTGAGCATTCCCTCCACTCCCTTAACCCAAATACATGCATTAGAATGTAGCAAAACCCTGTAGAAACTCCTCTTAGCCAACTGCGAACTTATCTGTTGCCACAAGTGCAAAGGGGTAGGGTGCAAACCTGAAAATCACAGAGCTCCTTAGCCACGTCAGCTGGTGACAGAAAATAAAGGAAAAACTCCTACGTATATGTATCAGTCTGTCTCCACTTTTTATAAAACTGGAATAAAATGGGAAAGTGCCATCTTTATTTATCCTAATTGAATTTTAAATGTCCTTTTGACACAAAAAGGTATATACATGACACAGCTACACAACCTTTTTTCAACTGGACAACAAGTGTCAAAACCCTGTGGATGTATAGGGTAAAACAAGATTGGTCAGGAAAAGAGAATTGTTCCTATAACTGGTAATCTGACACAATGTCCTATTGCCATTTAAAAAAAAAAAAAAAAAAAAAAAAGGACCAATAAAATTTTTTTATTACATTTATTTGAGAGAGAGAGAGAGAGAGAGAGTCAGTCCAAGAAAGAGGCTAGTGAGGTCAAATATGGCTCCTTCCACTCCTTCCAGCCCGGGCATTTCCGAAATAAGGCCATAGCAAAATGTCAACATTTGAGTTACTGGTAGTCAAACCATTCTACATGGTATTTTATCCCTCTTGATAAAAAAAAAAAAAAAAAATCAGACTTTTGTAATTTGTGAATGCTGATCTTCATCGAAAGGTTCATTCTCTGGATCAGAGTCAGTGGTGTCAGAATATCTATAATGATCAGGTTCATTGTCACTAACATCTGGCGTTACAGAAGTTGAACTGCTAGCCTCTGGATTTGATGGCTCCTCCACTGTTTTTGTAAAGTATAGTTTCACCTAGAAAAAGAAAGTTTAAAATAAAAGCCAAGGATTAAGACTAATTTTATATTATTTAGTAAAGACATTTATTTTTACAGATTCACTTTAAGGTACCATAACAAATGAGAATTTTAAAGGACAACTGCTTTTCAGATGACCTTGAGATTTCTTACATTTTCTTTCTTGCAAGGCACTGAAAAGATGTTGATACATTATTTTTAAAGAAGAATAAGCTACAAGCACTATATAATTATATTTAAAAAATGCAATCAAAGGTAATAACCTCAGGAATATGTTTTCCAATCACAAAATTCAATTTATACAAATGTCTGAGTTCCAAAAACATTCTTCCTACTACCTCCACCTGAAACTCAAGTCTATCTATTCAAATTAATGACAATACATAAATATATGAACACTAATTAACAATAATAGTGTTTATGATCAATTAGTCCTAAAAACATCACCTAAATAGAGAATGGAGGAGGGCATTAACAGAGAACGCATAGCAGTCTAGGGACAATGTCCTTGATATGCAAAATTGAAAAAGTTGTCAAAACTAACCTATTATTTCTGTTTTAAGGAAGGGAATTCTGTTTATAGGTAGGAAGTAGATATGAAATTTATATCAGATCTTTAGTCTGTCTATATAACTGTTCCCCTAGTACTCAAGTCAGTATAAATTCATACAACCAACATTTACTTCACAGTAAACCAAAGCTTTAAGTTGAACCTTCAAATTATCATACAGACCTTATCTTGCTACCCACCCCTCTCTGCCACTACTCCAGTCCACCCACCCACTACTGTGCATCTGTACTAACCCACTGCCAATAGCCTCTTCACCTACCTCCCACTTTCCACTCTGCTACCTCTTTCCACGTTCCTAGTCAGTCTGAATTTTGGAAGCAGATAAAGTGAACATGTAGACAAATTCAGATTACATCTTTTCTGCACTGAAAATACTCCTGTATCTTCAAACCAGGACTTGTTTTCTTATTGACTGTGTTTTAGTCAAAATGGCTTTTGCTATACAAATATACAAAGCTCTTTCATGCTGCAGGACTTTTACATCTATTCTTCCCTCTCTTCCCAGATAGTTGTTACTCTAGTCATCTCACTTGATCCTTCCTTACATGACTAAGCCATCCTAGCTCAAAGAACAAGATAACTCTTTAGTCAGCCTCCATGTTTCACAGTACTTACAGTGACATATTGATAACAAAAACAGCTTTTATCTATAATCATAAACTTCTTTTCTTTTTCTTTCCTTTCTTTCTATTTATTTATTTTGCAGTACTGGGTATTGAGCCCAGGGCTTCAGCCACATTAGGGAAGTACTGCGGCTGCCTTGCTAGAAAAAACTTTTTGCAATATTAAAACAACAAAGCTAGAGGGAAAGACATTTTAAAAGCAAATGATTGCCAGGTAAGGCTGAGGGAGGAAGACTGCCAAGTTCAAATCCAGCCTGAACTACAAATTTAGCAAGACCCTACAGCAAAAAAAAATCAAAGAGCTAGCTGGGCATGGTGGTGCATGCCTTTAATCCCAGTGAGGATCTCTGTGAGTTCAAGGCCAGCCTGGTCTACATAGTGAGTTCCAGGTCAGTGGGAGCTACAGAGAGACACTGTCTCAGAAAGACAAGGAAAAAAAAAAAAAAAAAGAGCTCACAATTGATAAAAATATAGTTTATAGAAAAGGAAGGAAATGGAAATCTGGGGATTCTAAAAGAAACTTGCAAATACTAAAAAGAAACTTAAGATCCAAAGACATTTAATATTTGATCAACTTTCACTCAACTCATGTAGCTGTCTCTCTCTATTTAGACTATTATTATCAATTGTTATGTTTATAAACTATGGTTAAGTTTATTACATGTGAATGAAGCAAGCATAAGAGGATGAAAACAGAATTAAAGGATAAAGGTATGGTTGAAGAGGAGGAGGAGGGGGAGTATCATTAAGTAGAATAATAATTAGAAAAGGAAAAGGATAGGCAATCATTTGGGAATATTACAAATGGAAGAATACAAACACAAGATTTAATTTAAAAATGAGTAAGAGACTCTTTAGCTACATACCTATGATACACAACCACCCCCAAAATGGTTTTAACTAACCTTAAAATTTGGAGAAAAATATCGGTTGGCTTTGTCTTTATTTGCTTTGTCAAGATCGTTTTTTGTTAAGGTAAGCACTAGATATTCCTTGTCATCATCTGCACGTTCTATACTGCAAATGCTGTCAATTTCCTGATCACAGAGACTCCCATTTTCTACTTTTTCTGAGGTTTCCTCTGGTCCTGGTATGAAGAACGTATTTACCCAAAAGTGAAACATTTTGTCCTAAAATAGAAAAAAAAGACATGACACTAATTTCTCTTTAAAACAAATATGTCACTTCTTTAAAATACCTGTCACAAATAATCAACATAATAAACCACAAATCATTTGATTATTTTGACTGAAGGTAAATATAACTTGTGGGGCTGGAGAGATGGCTCAGCAGTTAAGCACACTGGTTGCTCTTGCAGAGGACCCAGGTTTTATCCCCAGCACCCACAAGGTAGCTAAAAACCACCCATAACTCCAGTTCCAGGGAATCCGATGCCCTCTTCTGACCTCTGTGGGCACTGAACAACACAAGTGCACTTAAACTCATCCACATAAAATAATAAATATTTTTAAGATTAATTAAAAAAATAACTTACGGAATAGCTCTTAAATACCTATTTTATTTTATTCAAGGTTTAGACAAAAAAAATATAATCATGTAAAATCTTTGATAACTCATTTTTTATCCTAAAATTCTAAGTAAAAAAAAAATTCTAAGTAAAATATTTTCCAATGCTGGCTTTAAAAAAATATTTTAAGTCTATGTGCAAGCAGGTATAAGCAGAATTCAAGTATTTGTATTTTTAACAGAAGCTCTTGGAAAGTCAGCTCAACTCTATTGAAGCATGGTTTTACTTCTACAGCAACATGAAGAATGGCTCTCTTTTTTACATTGCAATGTATGCCTGATATCTCAGAGTAAAGAGGGCTGGAGTAGTTCTGATTTATTTTTGTAATGAAATGCCTGTTTTTTAAAAAAATTACCTCCTAGTCAGGTATAGTGACTCATACTTAAAATTCTAGCACTTGAGAGGCTAATACTGGAGGACTGCCATGCAGCCAACCTAGGCTACAAACTGAGACCCTGACTCAAAAAAACCAAACCAAGATTTACTTCTTACTAGTAATATGAAATACAGAGGTCAAAGGAAGTCAGTTCTCTCCCTCCACCAATGTGGCTCCCAGGGATCAAACTCAGATCCATCAGGCTTCCAGTAAGCACCTTTACCAATACTAAGCCATCTCCCTGGCTCATTTTAATATTTCTTAACCAAAACACAAGTTCATTTTCCTTTTTTTTGGGGGGGGGGCGACAGTAAGTGTGGTAAGTCGGTGTACTATATAGTTCAGACTAGACTTGAACTAGAGATATCACTGACTTCAGTCTTTCAAGTAATGGAATGTAGGCATGTGCCACACCAGGCTTCTAATCTTTCTTGACCAACACAAAAAGTAAGCTTGTATGATCTTTTAACAGTAAATAATATATAGTCTTGTGACATCTGATCTGTGTATTATGCTGCTATTTAAAAGCCTTTTATTCTAATTTATCTTCAAGTTGTTTATCCATACACCCCTCCCGCGAGAAGATACCTAGCACTTACAGGCTCTTACGACTTAAATGTCATTGTAATCTTTAATTTTACCTAGCAAGACAATCTTACATATGGCAAGTCTCTTAAAAACCTTATTAATTTCAATTATTTTAGCAAAGTCATTAATTATACTTTACTTAAAAGAAAATAAGCTAATATTATTGAAAGTTCCAAAAATGTAGATCACCGATGTGTACCATTTATCTAAAACTGTTTTTATTGAAATCAGAGAAGGCACTTAAATTAGGTCAGGAAAAACTATGAGAAATGGAAATTTAGGTGATCTAACATATACAAATACATTGAAAATATTTAATCTTTAATTTCATGCACATAAATAAGTGCAAACAAGATCTGGAATAAGAACACACTCCTGTTGGGCATGGTGGCCCATGCCTTTAATCCCAGCATGCAGAAGGCAGATCTGGAATAAGAACACACTCCTGTTGGGCATGGTGGCCCATGCCTTTAATCCCAGCATGCAGAAGGCAGAGGCCAGGCTGGTCTACAAAGCAAGTTCCAGGCCAGTTAGGGCTACAGGGAGACCCTGTCTCAAAAAGAAAAGGGGGAGGGGAGGGGAGGGGGGGAGGAGAGGAGAGGAGAGAAGGGAAGAGAAAAAAGAAAAGAAAAAACACATTCCTAAAAGTACAAGGAAATGGTGAGGCAAGTATCTATTTTTAAAACAATATAAAGTCAAGAGTGCAGTCACAGCACTTCAGAGCCCAAGGCAGACGGATCCTCAAATTTGAGGTCAACCTGGGCTACCTAGTAGTTCTGAGCTACAGATTGAGAACCTGTCCTTTAAAATATATATACATATATATACACTTATATAACACACAAAAAAAGGAACACATACAATTATATGTGAACCAGTCATATAATAGGAGAAAAGAAAAACAATGCTTTCTAATTACCTAATTTTTTGAAAATGCTCGGTAACATGATGAATTCCTTAAAAAAAAAAAAAAAAACCTGCAATATATTTAACTTTATGTAAAAGAGGTAGAAAATGAGTTTGTGATAAAAAAAATTCATTTGATATTTTGTGATTTTTCTTTTTCAGCTATTCTGATTCTGAAAGTGGGAAGTTATATTTCTCCTGATAAGTCAAATAGCAACTAAATTTTATAGTAAGCAAAATTTCCTTGTATCTCTTTCAAAGGAAAAAAGACCTAAAGATAGAGAACGGAATCCTCTTTCAGGCAGCATACCAGCAACACGTTTCGTAGGGCACCAACTTTGCAGAGCCAGAACTTTTTTCCATTATTAGCTGAAATTTTTGCACGTCAAACTAATTATAAATGTTCACACTTAACATTCTTCTATTAATTATTTTTTTATTTTATTATGTGTATGGGTGTTTTGCCTGCATGTATGTAGGTGCACCCGTGTCATACAGTGCCCGCAGAGGTTGGAAAAGGATGTTGGATCCCCTGGAACTGGTGTTATAGACTGTTGTTAGCCACCATGTATGGACTGGGAATCAAACCCAGGTCCTCTGCAAGAGCAGCCAGTGCTCTTAACCACTGGGCCATCTCTCCAGTCTGATGCTTAACCAAGAATATTGCAACTGAGTTCTCACTTTCTCTAAGCACAGCTCAGTAAATAGAAGCCTTGGTAACTCTCTGAACCTGCACATATACCACATTTTTTCCATCCTTTACTACTTCTTCTCCATAGCCATTTCTTTCTTGGCTAAATAATGACTAAATACTCAGTAAACCTGGGGAAAATAAATAAAAAATAACCCAGTGTTAAGAAACATAAAACAAAATGAGTAAAGAGTGACTTGCATCACTGCATAAGACCACAGACAGAACAAACCAAAACCCTACAAACCAAGAAGGCTCAGCTTATGGTCCCATGCTAGTTTCTTCTCAGTTAAGTGACTGTGCTCTGTAATGGGCTGTCGTTGATTAGACAGAGGTATGCATACAATCTTTAATGCTTTCACAAAACTTTTCTAACAGGGTAACTGATCACTATGTTTCATCAAGGCCAAAGTAAGTAATGTCTGCAGATCTAACAAAAAATTGATCATAGCTCATTAGAGGTCAATCATAAGAAACATGTATCTCTTGGTCTCTCCTTTGAAGAGTAATTTCTTCCTAACCAAAGGCTTTAAAAACAAAAGGTCATACTCTTCAAAAGGTTACTCTTCAAGGCATAGCTGTTTTGGACATCTACCCAATAAAAGTCAAGTGCAAACCTTTTTTAGCATCTTGTTCTGTTTGTGGAAGAACTCTACTTTGATGTCACCACACACAGGCAACGGCTGGGGGAACTCAAAGTACATGAACTTGTCTTCCCGTCGTGTGGGTCCTGAATTGGAGGAATATATCTTCACCTTTAGCTGGCAGACCACAAACTGAGGATCTGCATGGTTGAAAGACATACTAGTATCATTTCATAGGAAATGTCTTTAACTGTCAAGTTATCAAAAACTATTTCAATGATAAAGCATCAGCAATATACAAAATAACTCTTCCCCTATTCTAAAACAAATCAGTGGAAATAAATTAGGTAACAAACATAGTCAATGCAAGTAAGGCTTTCTCCAATTTGAACCTTTAAAATAAAGTACCATTAAGGACATGAAAGTCAATTTCTATTTCATGAATAGTAAATTCCAAGACTAGACCTCTAGCAACATATTAATATCAAAGTTTTACATCAATATTATGCAAAAATCCCCACATAAATTACTATAAGCATAAAATGAAAGAATCTTCTGGCACTTTTGTAAGCTGCATAAATGGCAACTTTAAAAGCATAGTCAATGTACTACTTTAATACTTTAAGTCTCTAGCGTGTGCCCAATCACAAAATAAAAATCCTATATTCACAAGAGGAAAGAATTTATAAAAGTTTTAATAAGTTCTACAACATAGGCCCAAGTATTTATAATATATAATGTAAAATATCGATCATTCTTTTGACCTCTAGCCCACATAGTTTTTAATATATTTTTATTCTTTGAGATTTATTCATGCATCAATGTATATGATCATATTCACCCCCACTCCTCCCTTTAACTGTCCCCAGATCTACTCCCTACCTCCTACCCAACTTTATATCCTCTTTTTTTCTAAAATAACCCACTAAATCCAATTTCTGCTACCCAGATATACATGGGTGTGGCAGCCCACATTTATTCTAAAGGTATGTAGGGTCATGGCCATGAAAAAAATAGAGGGAAATTTTTGACATGTGGGTTTAATAATGCATCAGGCTCCAAGTGAACATTGCAACAGAAATTCGCTTCCTTCTAAACTGTTTCCATTAACAACATTTTGGTATCAACCTAGGTCTGTTTTTAAACTATTGCTTAAGTATAACTTCTCAAAAATCATCTTGATTCTGGCCAGCAATTCAAGGTGCAAAGGAAAGGGTTTTTGTTTTATTTTTTTTTTTTATGTACTCAAATTCATTCATAGCTAGAAAGAAACAGGAAACTAATAAATATGAAGACTCTAGAACCTTTAAAAAACTAAATTACAGCTAGGAGTGGCAGTAGCACTCCGGAGGCAGACACAGATGGACCTCTTAAGTTCAAGGCCAGCCTAGTCTACTTAGTGAGTTCCAGGTCAGCTGGAGCTACAGGGAAACCCTGTCGAAAGAAAGAAAAGAAAGAAAGAAAGAAAGAAAGACAGACAGAAAGAAAGAAGGAAGGAAGGAAGGAAGGAAGGAAGGAAGGAAGGAAG